GGAGTGGATGGGGGGGTTTAGGATGATGGAGGGATGGAGGGATGGAGGGATGATGGATGGATGGGATGGATGATGGATGCATGATGGATGGATGGATGTTGGATGGATGGATGATGGATGGTGGATGATGGGGATGGGGGATGGTGGGGATGGATGGATAAATGGAGGAGGGTGATGGATGGATGATGGATGGTGATGGATGGAGGATGATGGATGGATGATGGATGGATGGATGGATGCATGGTGGATGGATGGAGGGTGGATGGATGATGGATGGATGATGGATGGATGATGGATGGAGGATGAGGGAAATGGATGATGGATGGTGATGGATGGATGCATGGATGGAGGGAAAGGGGAGGGATGATGGATGGATGCATGGATGGATGGATGGATGATGGATGGATGGATGATGGATGGATGATGGATGGATGATGGATGGATGATGGTGGATGGATGATGGATGGATGATGGATGGATGGATGGATGCATGGATGGATGGATGGATGATGGATGGATGGATGATGGATGGATGATGGATGGATGGATGATGGATGGATGATGGATGGATGATGGATGGATGGATGATGGATGGATGATGGATGGATGATGGATGGATGATGGATGGATGGATGATGGATGGATGATGGATGATGGATGGATGGATGATGGATGGATGGATGATGGATGGATGGATGATGGATGATGGATGGATGGATGCTCATCTGTAAAGGAGCTTTTTCCTTTTGTATCAACCTTCCTCCTCTGGTTTCTCCTGATTCTCCTCATACAGTAACAGCCTGTTTGTTTCCTATGGTAACAGGAAGCTGAAGCTGCAGGAACCGGTCAGCTGGAGGAGCTTCCTCATCCTTCTCCTCTGGCCCACAGCATCACTAAACTGGGAAAACATCTCATTTCCTCCGTGGATCAACATGTTTGGCTGTTTGCTGTTATAATTCTATTCTGGTTTGATTTCAATCGTATCTGATTGTTCAGGGCTTTTGTAAATGAATGAATTAATTAATTAAAACTGAATTAATGCATTTATTAATAATAAATGACTGGAAGAATAAAAGAATGAATTAAAAACTGAATGAGTGAGTGAATGAATGGATGAATAATGACTGAATGAAGGAAACAAAGACAGAAAGAATGAATGAATGGAGGAATGACTGAGTTAATGAAAGAATGAATGAATAAATTGATGAATAATGAATGAATGGAGGAATGACTGAGTTAATGAAAGAATGAATGAATAAATTGATGAATAATGAATGAATGGAGGAATGACTGAGTTAATGAAAGAATGAATGAATAAATTGATGAATAATGAATGAATGGGTGAACGAATGAAAACATTGATTAATGATGAATGACTAAGTTAATGAAATAAAGAATGTATGAATGAATAATGAATGATAAATGAATTAGAAAAAGAATGAATGAATGAATGAATGAATGAATGAATGAATGAATGACCCAGTTCTGCTCAATGGAAACTCTTGGTTCCAGAGTCTGAAATGAGAGAAGAGGAAAAGGAGGCAGACTTGGTTCTGATGGAGAACATCTGCAGGTAGAATGATGAAGGTCAACCTCTTTATTTGTCTCCTGTGAGGTTAGAGGACAAACATCCACATACCAGAGATGAACTGTCCTGGAAACAGAGTCAGCGGCAATAAATAACTACATAGAACACATCATCATCATCATCATCACCATCATCATCACCATCATCATCATCGTCATCACCATCATCATCACCATCATCACCATCACCATCATCATCACCATCATCATCATCATCATCATCATCACCATCATCATCACCATCATCATCATCGTCATCACCATCATCATCACCATCATCACCATCATCATCACCATCATCATCATCATCACCATCATCATCATCACCATCATCATCACCATCATCATCATCATCATCACCATCACCATCATCATCACCATCATCATCATCATCACCATCATCATCATCACCATCATCATCACCATCATCACCATCACCATCATCATCACCATCATCATCATCATCATCATCATCACCATCATCATCATCACCATCATCATCATCACCATCATCATCATCGTCATCACCATCATCATCACCATCATCACCATCACCATCATCATCACCATCATCATCATCATCATCATCACCATCATCATCATCACCATCATCACCATCACCATCATCATCATCACCATCATCACCATCACCATCATCATCATCACCATCATCATCATCATCATCATCATCCTGGTGTTCCTCTCAGCTAATGTTCATTCATCATGTGGATGTAGAGGCCATGTTATGGTAACAGATCCAATATCTGTGTTATTCTCATTGCATTCCTGGATAATTAAAGGATAAGTGAAAAAACGCAAATTTTAACAAAAAACAAATTCTCTATCCAAGAAATGTGGACATAAAAAAAATAATGGTACAATTCTCCTCATTTTTTTCTGAAAAAGACAAAGACTGTATTATGGTTTAGTTCCAGCTGATAGCAGATGCCACTGTTTAATGATTGTAGATGAAGCGTCTTTGGACTCATTGATAATCTGTCTGACTGAATACTGACCCCTGCTGGAGCTTTAAGGATATAAAGTTTTTTAAACTTTTAAAATATTATCTGTTCTGTTTTGATACAGCCTTTCAGACCTTTCCAGCTTTTCCACTTGTAACCCATGGTTATTAAGCTGTCTGTACATTTTTTATTTTATTTCCAAGTCTCTTGAAAAAAGTCGATTTTTTGGTTCAGTAAAGAATTTTCCCACAGACTGTGAATGCATCACACCTGCACAGCAGTTAATCAAGGCTCCTCCCTGCTCAGAGCTAGGTGCTTTTCTTTAAGGCGTCTGTCTGCATGGAGAGAGGGAACTGATTGGCGGTGGACGGAGCATGGCTTGCCATCGGCCAGGCTGTGATTGGTTGGAGAGGCGTCAGAGGGAAATGACGTGTCAGGAAATGGATATGTGACGGCGGGGAAAATGAAGGAATATGGTATACTCAAAAAGCTAAACACAAACGTAAAAAATCAAGACAACAAACAGAATCTTCTGTCTCTGAGGCTGAAGGAGAAACAGTTGTGATGACAGAGTTTAAATTAGTTTTGAAAACGATCAAAGAGGGCGTGTCCTTTGGTAAGTGGAATCCTATTAAACCTACTAAAGAAACAGACTATAAGTGTTGAGAGATGGATCTTTATTGATCATTTGCAGTGATGTTAAGCAAAAAGAAAGGTTACTGAATATAAAATAGTCCTAGGTGAAAATGTGATGGGGAGAATGCTGAATAACAGGATGTGTGCGGCGTTATTTCAGGTATTTCTCCTGATGTGCCAGTGGATGACATTACATCTAATGTATCAGGAAGGATGGTTGTTGAAATTAAACAGTTGAAAAGAATTAAAAAAGAGGATAGAAGTGATAGTTTCTGTATCATGCTGAAGTTTGAACAGACAAAGTGTTTGTTGGAAATATGAGCTATGATGTTCGACCATTTATTCCTCCGCCACTGCGCTGTTTCCAGTAGGGGTGGGTATTGGCAAAGAAGTCATGATTCGATTCGAATCACGATGCATCACGATACTTGAAATATTGCGATACATTGCAATATTTTCACTGAACACTTTTAGAAAAAGATGCAGCCCTTACCAGTGGCTGACTGGCTGGGTGTGATCTGGATCGTGTCTTCAATTGATACATAACTGAAAGCAACTGAATTCATTCATAGCTGTATTTATTGAAACAACTTTTGGAGGTGTTGCCATGGAAACAAATACTGGACAGAAATATTACTATTACTGGCGTGGACACACTGACTAAAAGATCTTAGGATTCATCAAACTTTAAATAACAAAATAAGGATAATCAGAGCCGTTTACATGGCCTCAGTGGTCCTTTAAACCAATGAAACGAAAACATTTCCCCTTTTGCAAATGACGTGCATCAAATCAATTTAATTTTTACCTTCTTTGTTTTTAAAGCCAGAATGCATCCAAGCATCTGACTTGAAATGTGATGGAGCCGCGGGGCAAATTTTCTCAGTGTCCTCCATGTTTTATTTCATATGACTCGTCTCGGTATCCCACAGCCGGAGATGCTAGTGACGCAAAAAGCAGCGGGCGTCAACTCATCCGCAGCGACATCTGCTGGACTGGAAGTTGTATTTCACTTGGTTTGGCTGATGTGCGCCAAACATTCATGTATTTTATTTGTTCATTTTTTAAAATTCTTATAATCGATTCTCGCCTTCAAGAATCAATGCAGTAGATCACAACAATTAGAATGGCGATGCATCGTCATGACGATTATTTTGCACACCCTTAGTTTCCAGTGTCATAAATTCGGTCATGTCGCGGCAGTATGTAAGGGGAAACAGAAGTGTGGGAGATGTGCTGCGGATCATGAGAATGGCAAATGTGAGGAAGGAGCTCCTTCGAAATTTAACTGCACAGGTGAACATAGTTCAGCTTTCAGGGGATGTGTAGCTAGCAAAAGAGCTCAGGAAGTACAGAAACTTAAAACCACTACTGGGATCACTGATGCAGAAGCAGCTAAAGAAAGTACCTGATCAACCAATGATTCGTTCAAAGAAAATAACAGCAGTAGAAGAAGGAACCTCTAATTGTCTGGAATGCAATAAGGTTAAAGATGACACTCTATTCATGAATTAGGAGGATTTGGTTTTATTCATGGTCGAGGTTATAAATTGTACTGATCAGACACAAAGGAAAAAATTCAAAGAATTGTGAAGGCTGCCCGGAAATATCTTGGTTTTAAGAATGGTAGCTGGGAATCAATTAAGGAAAAACTGAACAAAACAATCTTCTCAACTTCAATCATGCAGTGGGAGCCATTCTTCCTGTTGGTTATATTCCAGTGGAATGAAAGACGTCTCATTAGTAACGGTCTAAAGTTTAAGAAATACATTTCTGATTTGATAATTAAGCCTCATGTCATTTGCATTCAAGAAACATGGCTTAAGCCCCAATTAGATTGTGGAATTCCTGGATATGCATCAATTAGGAATGATAGAAAGGAAAGACAAGGGGGGGAGGGGCAATTTTTGTTCAACATGCTATAAGATATAAAGTAGAATCAATTGGGCAGAATCATGAATCAAAAGCTGTTAAGATCTGGATAAGAAATGATCAGATTTCATCAGTTAATCTATAAACAGGGTTCCCAGGGTCCTTAAAAAGTCTTAAAAGGCCTTGAATTCTTCAAAATAAAACTAAGGCCTTAATTGGTATTAAAATGTCTTAAATCAGTCGTTCATTGGTCTTAATTTTTTAAAACATCATAAAAAGGATTATTTTTATTACGATTTATTTTTGTAATCTAAATAAAACGCTAAAATTGACACTTTTTTCATAAAAAAAATAATGGCTCTCCATTATTGGTTCCGTCCCGATAGCGGAACCAATAAAGCGTTGTTGCTGCCAGGACATTTGGGAGATGCGTCCAGCCAATAGTTTTCTCCATGGCTAAAACCAGGGAACAATCATGAGGCTCAGTGGATTTATGCAAGAAGTCATTCAAGCTCAGAACGATGGGAATTAAGGCAGTGGAGTCGCACATGCGAAGCACGAAACACAAAGCGTCAAAATGGAGTTAGAGAGAAACAGCCGGTATTTCTCAGTTTAGTTCCACCCTTGTCTCTGCAACGCCTCCACTTATCACCAAATCAAACATACTAAGAAAACCATACAAAGAAAAATAGCTGCTAAAAAGACTTAGCACTGGTTATGTTGGGGCTTTAAAACTGATTTGTTTTGTTCTCTGCTAAAACAAAGTTTGTGAATTCAGTTAAATAATTGTTCAAATATATCTGTCATTTGTGTGTTTTTAGCTTTCTTCCTGTATGGGAAGCTTTTCAACATTTGAAACATTAGTGCAGTGGTTTATGTTAAAATAAACCTTTGGGTTAAGTTGTCGCAAGCAGGTTTTTCTTGTGTTTCTTGTGAATTTGGTCTTAAATTTTTTATTTCAAGTGGCATTAAAAAGTCTTAAAAAGTCTTGAATTTAACTCGCCTTATACTGGAGGAACCTTGAATACAATTGTAGCAAGAAGTTAAGCATTAAAGATCTTGATGAAGTAAATGAACAGTGTAAACAGAAGACTATATGGTAGGGATGCACGATATTGGGATTTTGGCCGATATGCCGATATTTTAAAACTCATGTAGCCGATAACCGATATCAATTATCCATTTCTGACACTTTGAAAAATAATATACTCAAATATATTTTCATATGCTGATATCAAATAGATTTTTAAAAACGCGGTATCGATCTATTTTACTTTCAAAATCTGGTGAAATTTCATCGTTCTGTTACAAACTCTCGTGATATTTTGCAAATTCTTGTGAGATTTTGTTAGTAAAATAGATCGATACCGCGTCAATATATCAACATATAAAAATATGGCAACATTTGGTGAATTTTCGGGGGATTTCGTAGCATAACGATGACATATAGCAATATTTCATTAGTAAAAGAGATTGATATGGTGTTTTTAAATGGCAATATATCAGCATATGAAGATATTGGGATATTTTAATGGATCAATATTTTTTCCCTCGTCTTTAGAAGTTTTTAAGTCTGTAAAAAAGAAGTTTTTGAGGAAGAAGTAGAAGTAGTATTTTTATTTTTTTTAGACTTTAGAAACTCAGAAGCTGATCAAATATCGGGTTAAATATCGGTGGGGGGGCCGATGTCCGATATTCAGTTTTAAGGCCGATACCGATAGGGGGCCGATTATATCGTGCATCCCTATTATTAATGGAATGTGATTAGTATTCACAGGAACGTCAGCATTTAAAGTTAACACTAAATAGAGAAAAAATGGATTTTCAATGATAAACCTTCTAGGAAATACATCTAATTCTGCTAGAAATAAGTTTAGATTTTTAGAAAACACTGGATATTTAATCGTATTTAAATAAAGAATATAAGTGTGTATATATGCATGTGAATATTCACACATGTTAATTTATATGTGAGTTTGTATAGATATTGATTGATAGATAATAAGCAGATTTGTTCTTACCATTGAGGTAATCGATTGATATTGAGATGTAATCGGTGTAGCAAGAAGATTTGCTGTATTATTGTGTTGAAGAATATCCTGGTGAGTTCACATGAACCTGTGAATGAATTTTTTATTTTTTTTTAGATGTAAAACCTACGGAGCCCCCTAGGGGACATGGGGAATTTTTTTTTTCTTTTGCATTCCCTCACAAAATGTTGCGTTACCTCGCAAAACCTTACTTCGGTGATGTTAGAACGATATTCACAGATTGGGACTTCCGGGATCAATAACTCTTGTTGTTGAAACACAAATGGCGCCTCTTTCATGTTCTGATAGCACAGATTATGTATTACAAGAAACAAAAAGTGTTATTTTGGAGAAAAACGAGCCTTTCTCCGAGCTGGAAGTATCACATTGATCTCCATGCACAGGCAGCGGCCAGGCGAGTGGTTAGGGACCGTCTGCAAATGGTAAAACAACAGAAAAATGTTGCAAATAAAAATCAATAACTCCACTGCCATACAGTGCAGAGATGGGAAGTAACGAAGTACAAATACTTCGTTACTGTACTCAAGTGGATTTTTCTGATATTTTTACTTCACTTTACTACTTATTTTTATGGCGACTTTTTACTTCTACTCCTTACATTTTTACACAAATATCTGTACTTTCTACTCCTTACATTTTTAAAAATTGTCTCGTTACTTTAGTTTTGAATCATTTCAATGGAGTTACCGTTATTATTTTTCACGTCATCAATACCGAATTCAATCTAATTGGATGGGAATCTACGTTGCATTTGACGCACCACTACAAGATGAATCGACAGATTCGGCGGTATTCATTGGCGGCAAATCATTGCAGCTTGGTGGCGGTGGCGTTAGCATAGTAGCATGGACGACGAGATGATTGAAAATGAACACAACGGAGATCTAGTCCTATTGGCAGACATCCATTTAAAATGGAGGCAACGGCATGAAAAAAGTGGTTTCTACTTTTACTTTTATTCTTTAAGTAAATTTACAAGCCTGTACTTTGTTACTTTTACTGGAGTAAAGAAGTTTAATCAGTACTTCCACTTTTACCAGAGTATTTTTTAACACAA